TGCTTTGATCTGAGAAGGGTCTGCCTCTATACCACGGTTGGTTACCAGGAAGCCTAGGAACTTGCCTGATCCTACGCCAAACGTACACTTGGAAGCATTAAGGCGCAACTTGTTTTTCTTCAAGATCTGGAACATTTCACCTAGGTCCCAGAGATGGTCCTTTTCATCCTTGCTCTTGACTGCCATGTCATCTATGTAAGCCTCCATTGTTCTGCCTAACAATGGCTCAAACATCTTGATGACCATCCGTTGGAATGTTGCCCTTGCGTTCTTTAGGTCAAAGGGCATGACCTTGTAGCAATACAGACCTCTTGGCGTTGTAAAAGATGTAACCTCCTGGTCTCGTTCATACATAGCGATCTGATAATAACCTCTGTATGCATCAAGAAAGCTAAGTCGGTTGTGTCTTGCCGTTAGGTCTACCAGTTGGTCTATCCGTGGTAGGGGAAAGCTGTCTTTTGAGCACGCCTTGTTGACTGTTTTGTAGTCCACGCAGACATGCCATTTTCCATTCTTCTTTGGCACCACTACTGTATTGGATATCCACTTGGGATAGTGCACTTCTCTGATAGCCCCTGCCTCTAGAAGGTTTCCCACTTCTTCCGCTACTATCTCGGCGTGGTGGAGTGCTGATCTGCGTGTGTGCTGTATGATTGGTCTTGCAGTTGGGTGGACATTCAATTGGTGACAGATGAAGTTTGGGTCAATGCCAGGCATGTCATACGGCGTCCAGGCAAACACTTTGATGTTAGAGGTCAAGAATTCCATGACCTCTATTCTCTCGGTGCTGGACATAGATGAGACAAGCAAAAAAAACTTTTCCGAGTCCTTTTCATCTATTCTTACTTGTACCAAGTCTTCCACTGCCTTCTATTCAGCGGCTTTGTCAACATCTACAAACAATTCATTGCTCTCAGGTTCTTCCACCATTTATTAATAAATCAAATAAGGTAAAAAAAAATTATTAATAAATAAATAAATAAATTTATTGATAAATAAAAGAACTTTGTAAATTTTTTCCCCCTTAATTTGGGATTGAATTGCATTATGGTTGTTATGGGTGATGCTATATTGTTAAAATTGTTGAAATTTATTTTTGTGTATGTTACATTACTAAAAATTGTTGAAGTTTTATTTTTGTGTATGTTACATTACTAAAAATTGTGAAAAAAAATATTTTTTTTGAATGTATCCCCGCCGTATCCGTATCCTACTTTTTTTAATTTTGCCGTATCGCCGTATCCGTATCGTATCGTACCCGTATCCCGTATCCGTATCCGTGCTTCCTAGCGTCCCTATGTATGACACCTTGCTCAATATCCGTATGTAGGTAGTCCAATCCATGGGCAGCTCCAATACAAATTTTGAGTCTCTTCTCCCAGGTAAGATGATAAATATCTGATGCAGCCAGCACATCGCCAACCCAGCAAGTAGCAAGCAATTCGTGACCAGCACAACAAGCAATGGCTTTAGTTGCCATTATTTTATTATTATGTTCACTTTTGGCAATTGCCTTATTATTTGTCTTATGTTAGCTTTTCCTTGTTTTCAATTGGTGACAGATGAAGTTTGGGTCAATGCCAGGCATGAGGTCAAGAATTCCATAACCTCTATTCTCTCGGTGCTGGACATAGATAAGTCAAGCAAAAAGAACTTTTTCGGGTCCTTTTCATCTATTCTTACCTGTACCAAGTCTTCCACTGCCTTCTGTTCAACGGCTTTGTCAACATCTGCAAACAATTTATTGCTCTCAGGTTCTTCCACCATTTGAACAAACCCTTTGGCAGCTCAGCTGCCATTTACTGTGACGAAGCATTGCTTGGACATAATTTGGTCTCGAAAGACCTTTTCAATTACTCCGGCTTCGTTGGGGAACCGCATTACTTGATGGTAGGTTGACGCTACCGATCGCATGGTATGCAGCCATGTCCTTCCCAAGATTATGTTGTAAGTGGAAGGGACTTTCAATACCCAGAATTCCACTTGTTTCGTCATGCTTCCTGCTCTGACTAGGAGGATTATTTTGCCAACTGGCCACTCTAGCATTGAGTTGAATCCAATCAGGGGAGATACAGCAGGTGCCAAGTCTTTGTCCTCCAGTTTCAACTGTTTGAAGGTTTTGTAGTACATTATCTCACATGAGCTCCCTTGGTCAATCAAAATTCGCTTGACGTCGTAATCCTTAACGCGGAAGAGTGACGACCAATGCATCATTGTGAGGGCAATATATCCTTGCCAAGTCTCTGTCTGAAAAAGACATGACGTTCGTGGCCTCTATTCTTCCCTTTTTAATGGTAGGTTGTGCACTTAATACCTCCCTTAAGTGTTTAGCCTTCTTGATCATTCCCCTGAGCTCACATACTCGCTCAGGTTCGAATACCCCATGTATTACGTTTATCACACCTTGAGGTGGGGCGTCGATCGACGTTCCGTCTGGGTGATCGTGGTTTTGGGGGGTTGGCTGTGTCCTTCCCTCAATGTACTGGTCCAGATGCCCAGCTGCCACTAACTCTTCCAGATGCTGTCTCAACGGCGTGCAATTCTCAGTGCGGTGTCCTTTTTCCTTATGGAAGGTGCATTGGGATCTTTCGTCATAGTCCTTTTGTGCCTTTCCCAATTTAGCTGGCCATCTGACGAAAGGTTCATCGCGTATCTCACTAAGAATCCGATAGATCGGTTTTTTGAACACCGTGGTTATGGCAGTGCGGACTCTCAACCACCTTTTATCGTGGTCCTCTCCGTTGTCCCGCCTGCCTCGCCCGTTTCTGCTTGGACGTTCTACCAATTGACTTTTGCCGAAGTCTTTTTATCTGGTGTTGCGGTTGTACCAGACTTTGTTTTAGCACAGGCGCCATCCTCCTCCACCCGAATGTGCTGGTGTACCCTCTCCATTAAGGCTTCCATTGTGAGGGGGGCGTCATGGTAATTGAGTCCCTAAGCCTGTTTCCGACTGGAAGACCTCTTTTGTATTGCGCAATGGCGAGATTTGTGGGGCAATCTCCTATCTGGTTAAAGGTCTCCCAATAAGGACTGTTGTAGGATCTCAACGTCTCCTTGTCGTCCATGCCAATGGAGAGTAGCTGATCGATCTCTACTGGCGTCTTGGTGTTTGTTCTGAACCTTGTCACGAATGCCTCTGCCAATTGTGCCCAGGAGGCTATGCTGCCTTCTGGTAGGCTTTCGAACTAGTTTAAACCTAGGTCGCCAAGGTTGGATGGAAATAGGATGCATATCAAAGCCTCGTTTCGCCGGTATACTGCCATAACTTGGCGAAAATGGCTAAGGTGTGTGTAGAGGTCTGTCTTCTCCTCATACATGGTGAATTTGGGTTGAAGAAAGCCTGAAGGTAAGGGCGCATTCTCAATTACTAGAACGAACGGCGAGGTCTGCAGCCTTGTTAATGTTTTGTCTGTCGGTTCGTAAGCAAGACGCGGTATTGGCATTCCCACCTCGATGCTTCCATGCGTCCAAGGAGCCAACCGCTCAAGGGCTAAAACTCTGCGAGGGTCGCGTGCCCTGGTATCCTCCTTCCGTCGTGCCCTTTCTTCAAGCACACTTCGTAAGTCGGACGATCTAGGCAACTCCGTTTGCCTGGATGATGTTTGGTGCGTACGTGAGGGCCGATAGGTGCTTCCTCAGTGTAAGACCTCAATGTTCTCGTTCTCTCAGACCTGGAGTAACGAGTCCTGGAAGTCCTTGATTGAGTGTCGCCTATTCTGAGGCTCTTACTCTCTGCTTGCGATGGCGTGGTATGCCTACCACTATCTTCTGAGTGGCGAGGAGGCATATTGCTTTTGCGCACTTCTCTTGTCGCCACCCCCTTTCCTTTTATCTGGCGCTTCATCAATTCCATGTCTGCCGCCATCTTCCTAATTAACTCTTCTTGCTTCTTTACCTGATCCTCCAAAACTTGAGGGTCGATCCTCCGCCTCTGCCAATCAGGACTTGATGAGCGACGGGGGCTGTTACCCCGCCTCCCTCTTGCATCCCTCCGGGGGTTCTGTCGCTGGGGCTCTAAATCTGCCATGGGAGGGATGGAAGGCAAACCTTCGCGCCTCCCACCTCCCTCTGGGGTTTGTCCGTCAATGGCGGACTGCAGCAAATCTTCATTGTGCGCCATTGCGTCTAATCTAGCAAAGAAAACTTTGATCAAGAGGTTTTGTTCTTTCTGTGATTCGCACAGACAGCGCCAATTGTACGAGCAAGAAATAATCTTCTCGTATAATCCTGTTGATCAAATCTGCGCTCCTCCAAATGTCGTCGCTTTACTCTCTGAAAACACAAACGTGAGCTAGCCGGCGGGTGTGTACCGGATGCCTCTCCAATGCCTAAGTCAGCAAAATAGACAAATAGGCAAAAAGCTCTGTGTATTCGAGAATCAAAGTTGTGTTGCCTCTCCATAGGTGATGTTATGACCTTTTATAGGTTCCGTGTGGCATAATCCTAGTAGGACTCTTATTCCTCCATCCAGAGTCCTCCTAGGAATCACACTCATGAAAGATAGTGCTTATCCTTTAACACCCCCCTCACTACTTAAACCAAGTGAGATAGTTTTACCCCAATTGGATGACAGTACGACCGAGCTAACCCAGCTCAGATCTTCCCTTCAGTGCCTGTATCCTGGTTAGGCATACTCCAACAGGGCTGTTAACTTAAGACCGAGCTAATCAAGCTTGGTGCTCTAATGCGCAATGCCAAGCTAGCTCGGCTCTCGTTCAGTTGTACCTCAGTTGCCTGTTGAAAACCGGGCTAATCTATGGCAAGCTACGACCGTGCTAACTAGAGTGAGGTCCACCGTGAGAAGCCATCATACCTCGGCTCCAAATGCTAAGACCGAGCTAACTCCACTCTGATCGTGGTGATTGTCATTCTATTTGGACCGTGCTAACACTACGGTTCACTTGCCAAGCCCTTTTCTACCGTGGCCCATAAAACAACCCATTACTCAGCTCGACTCAATTTACTTATAAATTACCCTCTCACTATCTACTAAACCATCCATGTGAATTTGTGATTCAACTCACAGTTGTGTTGAATGGCATCCCCAATAAGCCCTTTGGAGTGCCCCGTGGCATTTGTCCATAGGTACCATTAATACGAGCCAGGTACCTCCTGTGTGTCTTTGGTGTCCCTACCTGTCATGATCGACAATAGTAAGAAATGTTTGAACAAAATTATAAAACCCGTGACAATGCTGAAAATTTAGGCAGACTAATGCATTCAATGGCCAGTGACAACTACAAAAGGATCAAACTCCGTTTCACTTAGATCTGACCACCACTATGGTAGAAAACATCAACGTGATTAGTATACTGTGCTCATCAGAAGGGAATAAAACAAAAGAAAATTAGTAAAAAATCTCAAGGCAGACTGGTTCTGTGCACATGAAATTATCAATACTTACGCAAAGGCAAAAACCATTTTGATGAGACTTCATTTTTCAAGTTCTGCCACATTGTTGTTTTCCAAAAGCCCAAAAATAACAGCTCATTTACATTTTCATTGATGTAATGATTGATCAGTTAGTGGAAAATATGCAAATACCAAATCTTTATCCCCTTAATATAAAAGACCCACTCCCATGTAAACCTTCTTTTTCTCACCAGTCCAAAAACTACACTTTCAAAGCTGTCCTCCATTTTTCAATTACCCTTCCATAGTCAAGATCACAAGCAATAAACCCTCCTAGTCATCAAAAAAATAAAATAAATAAATAGGAAAGTAAGCATCTCTCTCTTAGTACAGATTTGAATCAAATGTGACTACAGAATCAGAAAGAAAACTGGTGATTTCAATATATCATTTGAAGGTCTCATCCTCTATTATTCTTTTTATTTCTCTCCGAACTTTTACCTATCCAAACGTTGGAAGAGGAATATTGAAGGTAAAAGAATAATATGCAGTTAAAAAAAAAAAAACTACTTGAAGAAAATTGGTGTAAAGGCATGAGTCTCTAATTTTATTTTTTAATCTTTTTTCTTTAGTTTGCGTATATTCCTTCAGTAATGTGTGTTTTTCTTGTACATCTTCCAATATGTCTTTTCCATTATCAGAAGATTTCACAAATTTTCCAGAATGTTCCTATAACAACCTCGACCTGTGATTAGCTTAAAACATATGATTATGAATGCCTAATAAGTAATCAAGATGAAATTCTGAATTAATTGCATATGTGTTGCATTAATTGTGTTTCTATCTGTTTATCGTAGAAATATCTGTTTGTGTTTCCACTTTGTTCTGCGAATTGAAGTCCTTATCGACATCCGATCATGAAATTGACTTGGTTTACGTGTTATTTGAGATTTTTAGGAAATTATGATAGGTTCAATTGAAATTCGATTTGGAACGAAATAATTAAAATAATTAATGCTCGATTGATTAAGTGGTAAGCTTAATTAATTAAATTTCCTAACCAAGCCTATATAAGGCTGTTTTGACTTTAGACTCTCAAAATTTCACCTGCATTCATCTTCTTGACATTAAAAACGTGGAGAGAGAGAGAGAGAGAAGATTGAGCTCACTCTAGGAGAATTGCTAGAGACCTTAAAGGTTTTGGCTTGGAACTTCAAACAATTAACTGTTTAGAATATAGTAGATCATCTAAGGTAAGAATTCAACCTTATAACTTTGGAATTGAGTCAGTTAGTACGTGAATCCAAAGAATTAAGTTGTGTAATGCTAGAATTGAGCTTAGAGAGATGAATATGGGAGTGTAGTATGCATGCACGTATATATCATGTCATTTTGAGGAAGTTTTCAAAGAATTCTCCCATGTATGTTATCATTTTACCTTAGTGTTCAGAATTCATCTTGTTTTATACCAATTGATTATGTTTTGGAAGCTTTAGAGCCAAATCATTTCATACATCTTATGTTTTCAACATTTCAAGTTTGAGTTTGAGCAATTCACATGTTTTTGAGGGCTCGATTTTGCAAAATTGTTTTCAATTCATGAAATTTTATGAGTTTATATATGTTTTCCCAACTTTGGGCTCAAAAGGATGTGTTTTGGATGGTTAAAGATGAGTTTTGAGCTTAGGAGAAAATATGGAAATCCCAGAATTCTGCTCCTTCGCTCGAGCGACGGATCCTGTGCTTGAGCAACCGCTCTGTGTTTTGCACCTCCGCTCGAGTGACCAAAAGTTGGCTCGAGCATAAAATGCATACTCCCAGAAGTTTACACATTTTGCAGACCGCTCGAGCGATAATTGTTGTGCTCGAGCGAAGACCTCAGTCTCACGCTTGAGCGATCGTTGAACGTGTATCGAGCGGAAAAATCAAGCAACCAGTATTTTTACAAAGTTTACAGACCGCTCGAGCGACCAGAATTGCGCTCGAGCCACCTCTCACATTTTTTGAACATCCGCTTGAGCGAGGGAAGTTGCGCTCAAGCGAGGCCCCTATTTTCAGCATATTTGATTAAGTGTTTTCAAGTACATTTTAGCATCCTCATTGCATCCTAGGCATTCCTAGGCTAAGATTAAGACTTAATAATGAGGATAAAATTTAGAAACACACGAAGACGAAATGAAATAAGTTAAATACGATCTGAGCGTGTGTTTCAGTATGTGTATCAGTTATGTTTGTGTACGTCACGGGCCGTAAGCTGTTGATCTATTGGTTGCTATCAAGCTATTTGTGCAACTATCTGTGAGTAATAACTTAGTAAAGTTATATTTGCTATGAAATACTTTCTAAACATTATGATATGATATGAATTATTTCTAAATGTTACAAAAGGCTATTTTGTGATTCCATGAATGATGATCCATATCTTTGAAATGTATTTCTGGTATCCTTGGCAGAGGCCCTCGCCCAGGGAACATAATACTGTGGCTTATGGTCATGAGGCCCTCGCCCGGGGGAAACAACACCGAGGCCTAGGCGACATGGGGGAAATAATGCCGTGGCCCATGTATGAGATATGTTACCCAGTACCGGAGGTTCCATTATGGAACTTGCTATACTTGACCAAAGTGATATGTTAATGCTAATGGATGTACCACACATGATTTGAATACGAATATGAACATGACTCTGTTTTGATACGACTATGCTTATCTCTCTGATTGATATGATACAAAACTGGACATCATTCATTAAAATCTTCACTCTGTTATTATTCATTGAGCTTTTGCTCACTATATATGCCATGTATGTAGGTGACCAGGCGTGTGACTAGGCTCAGAGTTGATGACTTGGAGTCCCTGTTTTGTCAGCCAACCGTTGTGCCTCTCAAGGAGGTTCCGGAAAGAGTTTAGTGGTTGGGTTTTGCGAACTTTTGTTGTTTTGTAAACAATTCTTTTTCCTTATTTTGTAAATGGATATGTGAATGACGTCATACGTGGGTTTATGTATATCAATTTTAAATGTTTTTATCTCATGTATGTTTACACAGCCCTATAGACCATGTATATTTCTATATTTGCTTCCGCTAGCCCCTTTTAGTTTGTTATTCAGGTCAGAGGCCTTCGGTAATCTGAGGATTACTGGTTGATTACGACACTAAACCTAAAAGGGCGGGTTTGGGTCATGACAGTTCGTTGTCTCATACTTCATAAAAGCATAATAGCTGATACAATATAATCAATAGCAAGTAATAAATATTCCAAATACGCGTAATAATTTGTGCTTTATTAATATTTCCAATGTTTAATTCCGTTTTTTGGAAGGTTTCACATTTTTCTCTGAATGTCTAGTGCATCATAATTTTGTGCAGTAGTATTAGAGCTAATATCACATCATATCAGCAACATCAAGTAGTAGTATCTGGGACCACTGCTGCAGAGACGGGTACAATACAAATAGCTAAAAACATGCTATGGCACATCAAAGGGGTACCTAACTAAGCAATTAAGCAAAGAAAACACATTCTTAGATGAAGTATCAATTGACAGAACAAAGTGCTCTAGATTTTTCTAGTTATTACTCGTGACATGGCAACCATAAGAGCACCAATCAAAATTCAAAAGCAATAACGAAAGAAAAGTAGGAGGTTCAAGTGAATCCCAAGGACAGATAAAAAATAAAAAAAAAGGAGTAGAGAGAGAGATGGGGCACAAAAATTTAATATACAAGCACCATAAAAAATATAGTTCAATAAAGGAAAGGCTAGCCATTTTAATAGCAAGAATCATATTTTCCCTCTTAGATTACTAAACTTCAGAAGGGAAATTTGATTATTTTGAAAAACTACATCACCTGATGGCCCAGTTTAAAATTTGTAACGTGAATTTGATCAATCACAAGGCTGAGAAAAATTTAGTCAAAATTGATAATTTGAAAGTGTTCTACAAATCAATTTCAAGTATTGAGTTTCTTCTCAGAAAACTTCATTGAACTTCAACATCTAAATACCACTTCTAATGTGACTAATGTCACGCCCCAAGTTCTGTGACAACGCCGCACACTCATATAAGTGAGCATGCAAGGCTAAGAATCCAATCACATAACCCACAAAATAAAATACTCAAATTAAATCCTTAATTGTCATAATGCCAAAATCCATAAAAATAAATAGTTCTGAAATGAAAATGTCCACCAAATCCACTAATTTAATCCACTAACAAAACAATAATCCAAGTATTTAAATCATGGTCCTACTCTCGGCACTCCTACATGTAAAAAAAAGATCCCGCACAGCTCTACTCTTCAGAATCTGAAAAAAAATAAGAGTAAGCTAGATAGCCCAGTAAATAACCAACCATCACTGCTAGCTGGATCAACTATACAAAAATAAATAAATAAATCGATAACCAATAAATATAATTTTTTTTCTACAGTTCAATAAACGAACAATTATTTGTAAGACGGTTTCCTAGCTAAAAATAAACAATGTACAATACATTTTAATTGAAAATCCAACAAGATAATTCAAAGGAAATTCGTTGTTCAAATCGATGGTTCGATATTCAGATAGTTCAATGATTTGATTCACAAAACCAAAGTCTTAATGACTACGGTCACTTAGCCCGTGACAAGGCCCAGAACCACACATAGGCCGGTGGTAAAGCCCCAAAAGAAACTAGTTTCTGTGCCAATAAATAACCCAAATTGGCTAGGGTCCAAATCATAGTCAGACTAGAGTGATGTTCAAAATTCAAACAATACACAACTTTTAAATAAAATATTCGATATTTTCGGAATAAATATTTGGTACAATTTTCAGAATAGTTTCACAAAATATTCAAATAACTTTCATAATAATATTCGATGTTGTTTTATACTTGACCCATATTTTATTTTAAGAGAACATGAAAGCTATAAATAAATATTTATAATTTTAAACGATTCAGTAGGAATAAAAATGAACCAACAGTGATAGAGGGTTACTTACCTTCGAACAGCTAAAATAATATTTTCCAAGCTAATCTCAATTTACCAAGATCCACCTCAATCTCACAAACCTAATAAAATATTACACCGCATAAACAATTATTATGTGCACCCATCCATCTCTTCTTGTAACAACAATAGAATAAATTAACCCAATAGTCTATTAGGAACTCCCACGATTTAGCATCAAAACAAAGCCATCACGGCTTCAGAAATTCTCAACCCATATTATTCTCTTGTTGTTTATATACATGTAAAAATTTGTAATTGCTTGTAGTCAATCGTGTATCCCACAAATACACCACCATTAAACTTAACCTATCACATATCAATCTCAAAATATGAACCACCCAAATGGGATGCAAAATACACTCTAAAATTGAGCAAAATTGAGCAAAATTGAGGCCCCCAACATAGACTACATCAATATATCTATTTAATCATATATGCCCATAAAATCATCTATTGATATATTAACACTAAAATCATAGATAGGAATACAATAAAATAAATCTTACCTAAGTGATGAATAAAGCAAAACCACCACTCTTATGAATCCTCCCTCTTCCTTGGTTTGGGTTTCTTTTCTTTAATTTAAAACTTTTCTAAACCCTTGCTTGCTACCTTCACCTTTGACTCTTCCAAACCCTTTCTGCAGCTCTTCTCTTTTTCTTTTACCTTCTCAAACCCTAGCCGCCTATGGAGCAATTCATAGCCTCTGTTTTGTTTGTTTTCCAAGACTTAAAGCCACAATAGGTGGGCTTATTAACCTAATTTCTCAAAGTTACAAAATTACCCATCTAAGTAATAGGAAATATAATGCCACCTCATAACTAATTCTTTGATATTAATAAATGACTCATATAAGTTAATTTAATTACTAATCTATCCAATAAAATAACCGTACACACAACTTGGGTTTTACAACTAAAGTCGAATTTCTAGTTTTAAGTGTCTCAACATTGTCCAAAATTACTACTTGAAGGTTTACAAGTATGAGGGTGTACCTCCTTGAAAACAATAGAAGATTTAAGCCCTGGAAATAGTTTATTTTCCAATCTGCTAATAATTTTGTCAGCTACAAGCTCTTTCTTTGCCTCATAGTTCCCTTGAGATAGCCCCTAGTACGATAAAAACAAGATATTTGTTTAGTCAAAACATTATGATATACACATTCCAACTTAAGTATTAAGAACGAGAAAGGGATATACAAAACAAAAAGTAGAATCAAGATCTTAAAATAAATTTACCTCCCAGTCTTCTATGGAAGAAGTTGTAAATATGTGAAGAATATGGCGCCCTTCTGGAGCCAATGATGAGTCAAGAATTGTTGGAATGCTCAAAAATATACTCCCATACGGCTTCTCCAAACTTGTCCAGTCATCCTAGATAATGATGGATAACAATAAAGTGAATGCATTAGGCAGTCATTCATCATTAAATCCTTTGAATTACCAAGCAAATGAGTTTTCTGAAGAAACCAAGTACCTCAAGAACAAAATGATGGCAATCCGTATCAGGTGGCAAAACCTCAGCTTTGACCCCCATGTGAATCGAAAGAAAAGAGGGGGCCTTGACATACAGTTTTTGGAAATTTTGTTCTCCATTAGGAAGATCTTCTCTTTTTAAAAGCTTGCCTGTAATAAGAGAAATACAATTCAATCAGGTCTCCATTAGCGGGGAAAAAAAATTCACATAGAAAAGCAAAACTTTTTGGTCAAAATTGATCATATTGGATTGGCAAAGTCTCAGTAAGAACTAAACAAATGTATCCCATCTAGCATTTGATACTACGGTTTTGGCAAATAACTCTCTTCCATCCGACAGTCTCACTCCTACCTACAAATTGCAGACAAATAACATGAGAAACAAAATCACATTTTTCCATAGGCAGTAACCAGTACAGAAAATTTGGTATCACTTATTTCACATTAAGGACAAACTCAGAGCCTTTCCTTGGTCAATTATAATACTTGTCACATTTGCCTTGTAAAGTATTTCGCTGCCCTGCTCAACCAAGCCTTTTGCTAATGATTTGGCAATTCCACCAACCCCATAAACAGGGTAGTTGATTCCCCCAAAATGCCTGTCACATAAAACCTAACGGAAACAATATATGAGGAAACAGGAAAATAACAAAGAAAGGGGCACTGAGAAGCTAATAGAAGACAGATTACCATGCTTGCATTGATCATTGGAGTCTGCAAAGCATTAACCGTACTCACTATAAAACACTGCAAACACAATGGATAAGTTCTTCCTTGTGAGATGAACAGGATATAACTTGGATCCCAAGGCTCATGAATAAGGAAAACCTTCAATATGATCAAAAGAATAATATCAGCCCACCTCAGCGTCTATGAAGGACAATAATTCAGGATCTTTTATGAATTTCCGAGCTATGTCTCCAGCATTTTGGGGCAAATAGTAGGCTGCAGAGAATACCAATAGCATGTGAGATAAGTTTAAAATCAGGATGCTACTGGGTAGTCATCAACACTTGGTGACTTATAGAGAAAATGAAAGAACAGAAAACAAATTGAAAGCAGTATGAACATCCAACATAGACTAGAAATTTGTGTCAATCATCGTCCACAGAGATGGCATAAAGAAGTTAGATCTAAAGCTCAATAATATGCACTTCTATCAAGTCAAACCAAGAATTTAACAAGAGCACAATTACAGTTACTTGTATCAGGTATTTGTTCCACAGTCACTAGATTTTACTAACCATGTAAGAGATGTGATAAAAAATAAAATAAAAAATAAAAGGAGTGCAGACATATTATTTTTGGTTTCATATAACATGCAGCTAAACTGTAAAATAATGGTAATACAATTATCTGCCATTCATAGTCTCCATTAAATCTGAAAATAATGAAGATGAGAATTTTGCTTGTTGCTGCTAAATAGCTTGATATACATTCACCGTAGACGGAGCCTACGGCGAATTTTGCTTGTTGCTGCTAAATAGCTTGAAGAAGGTGTTTGAACATGGCCTCGACATCTGTTGGAGAAAAGAGAGGGGTAGACGGAGCCGGAGACTCAGAAAAGCCCTCAGCGGCAGCAGCAGCAGTGGCGGTGTGAGGAAACTGATTCCCAGGATGAGATTGGTTCCTGGAACGATGAAAGCTCCCCCGAGAAGAACCACCGCGAGAAGAGTGGTTGTTGGAGGATGAGCGGGATGGATGGCGACAACAATCCTGTTGCAAATGACCAGGACTAAGTTTGTTGCAATATCGGCAGGTTCTGACTAGGCAATTGACCAGGAGATGTGTGGAAGGAAGGCCCCGATTCTGACAGTAGAGACAGGCAGTGGTCCGCTGGGGGAATGATGGCCGGTACGGGGGAGTGGCAAGAACAGAGTCCACATGATGAGGTTGGAGAGTACCAAGACGAGTCTCTTCTGATAGCAACTCAGAAATAGCTTGTTCCAGAGTGGGCAAGGGATGGCGATGAAGAAGAGAGGCACGTACAGGCTCAAAAGATGAAGTGAGAGCCATAAGAAAGTGCACCAACCTTTGCTGATTACGATAAGCAGTAAATAAAACAGCATCTTCTTGGTGAGGCCAAGTTGGTTCAGAAAGAGCAAGCTGGTCCCAAACGGAGTACATTTGAGAGAGGAAGTCATTGATGGACTGACTAGATTCTTGGCGCATCCGATGAAGTTGGCTCTGAAGTTGATATTGATGAGCAAGACCAGTAGTCTGGTAGCGTTCTTTCAAAAAATCCCAGATATCTTTGGCAGGAGTGGTGACAGAGTCAAGCTGAAAGCGGCCAAACTGAAGACTGATAGAGGTAACAGACGTATTCCGAAACCAGGTAATGATTTGGTAATTCTTACTGTCCCATTCCTCAAGGCGATCTTCATATGTAGGAGTAGCAGGGGAAATAGTGGTTTCAGCAGTGTCTTTGACCGGTTGGGTCATGTCCCCGGTGATAATTCGCCAGAGCTTCTTTCCTTTGAGGAAGGAAGACATGGCTTGGGCCCATAGAACATAGTTGGAACCATCCAAAATAACGGAAATGGGATGGGAGGCATCAGGACGATCCATAATAATAGTGGAGTAGGGCTAAATGGATAGGGAGAGACCTGTAGGAGCAAAATTAGGTAAAACAGAGTGTACCAGTGAGTCCGGAAGGTCGAAAATAGCTAGGAAAGGTGGGCTGTGCAGGGATGATGTCAGCAGGGTGGAAAATGAGGTCAGCGGCGCACGTTAGCAGGAAGGGCGTGCGGCGCACGGTAGCAGAGGGGACTGGCAGCGTATGTTAGCCGAATGGCGCACGCGGGTGCACAATAGCGGAACGGCGCACGCGCGGCTCACGGTAGTCGAACGGCGCACGCTGGTGCACGGTAGCAGGTGCGGTGCACGACAGGGCAGGATGGAAGGCGCGTGGCAGCGCGTGTGAGAGTGGCAACGGAAGCAGAGACGCGCCGAGAGAAGAAGCGGCACGTGAGAGCGCGTGAAGGCTTGTTTGGTGATGGGCTTGGTGCCGTTGGGATCGTAGGGAAATTACGAGCTGTTTGGTATAGTCCACTGTGTACGGAACTAAGACCTAAAATTGAGGGATGCCAGAATTGTGTTTTTAAGCTCTGATACCATGTGAGTTTGGTAACGAGGAAGAGAAAGAGAGGGACTGAAAGTTGGTGTTGTTATAGTATGTTTCAGTATATTACAAGAGAGCAAGCTCCCTCTCTTTATAGAGAGGAGAGGGAGACAATTAGCATCGGATGCCTGGTAATTTACATTGAGAGAAGCTAAAGCTAAAGTGAAAGTTCTCTTCTTTACAGCTACACATTGTGGCCTTTACAGATGCAAGCTGTTTTACAGCTATACATGGTATTATATGTATATTATATGTTAACAATTTTCATGGGGAAATTTGATGACAAGTTCTGCGATGAATTCACTGTATTCTCTGTGTACTCGGACAGAAAGATTCTTGGGTAGATGAAAATGAACAGTAGTAGGATCAGGTATCACCTGCATTTTACACCCAACTGCTGCCAACGCTTGGGTTATCAAATTTAGATTTCCCTGCCAAGATCATAGTTTTAGACGTCCACAGCCATTCCCACACTAAAGACACTTCGCTGTGTTTGGATCAGGATTTGGATAGAGATTTGTGGAGGAAACGGAAAAGATAAAGGACGTGGAGAAAAAAATTAGCTTATATTTCATTCACATTTCTCTCACTTTCGCCTTTCCCTCCTCAAATCCCTACTCAAATCCTAGATCCACACATAGCCTTCAGGTCACCAAAGTTCATCTAATGGTTCAAGCTAAAAACCATACTTAAGAACTTGAATAAAGCATTGACAATGCCACAGATAGTGGGCAAAACATAAGCATAAAATCAAATTTTGAAATCTCCATAGTTTCTGCTGGAATCAAGCATTAGACAGTTCCTCCTTAGGTCATGTAGTTTCATAATAAGTGTCTGCCTGCAGAGTAGTGAATTACACCAAGGGGCCTATTTTTCATGTATCATTTAATATTTGTTAATCACTGACTTACAACCATTTTCTAAATTGATTCAGTTCTAATTGGCCGAAAGTTACACCTGTTATCCATTTCCGCACATGCTATACCATTTAGGCCCCATTTGTTTTCAAAGGTTGAATGGAAGAGATTAATAGTGAAGGAATTAATGATGAGGAGATTAAATAAAATTGTGTTTGTTTTGATGATAGTTGTTAGTGTAAGGATTATTAAATTATTTTTATATAAAATAATAAAACAAATAAAAAAATACAAAAACATTAAATATTAATGTGAAAAAAAATACTGTTAAAATCGATGTATTAAGAGGTAGAATAGATTGTATGTATTATTGATTGATGTGTTGTTAATTACAAATGGTGAGGGGCTCCTTATATAGGAGATGTAGTGGAGTAGGTGGTAGTAGGTGGTAGTGGTAGGTGTGTAGTAGGTGGTAGTAGGTGGTGGTAGGTGTAGTAGGTGGAGTAGGTGATGGTAGGTTTTAACAGCCCCCCGCAAACTCAAGGGGGATAGGAACTAACCAACTTGAGTTTGGAGAGAGTAACAAAACAAGAAAATAATCTGAAAAATAAAAAATGGATAGGAGACACTGTATGGTCGTGTCAGACCATTGGTGAAGACACTGGATGGTGGTGTCATAACGTTGTAGAGGACACTGTATGGCAGTGTAGAGGAGATGTAGAAGACAGTTTATGGGGTCATGTCTGACCGTTGTAGCAGACAATGTTGTGACAGTTGTT